AGAGTAGTGTCTTGAAAAGAACAGTTTTGTAGTCCTTGAAACCGTTTGTTCGGAAAAAGACGATTTTGTAGTTTGTGAAAAGTGTTGTCGTGAAAAGAAGAGTTTAGAAGTTTTGGCTGGATCCGTGGATTGGTTATCTAATGGATCCGTGGATTGGTTATCTAATGGTAGAACTGATATTGATTATAAGAAATTTGGTTCAGATTTGTTGTTTTTCCATTTTTGATGCCTTTTTATATACAGAATCAGTTTTACAGAAATCACTTTTTCTGGAAGGTTAATTTATTTTTTTGTTTAATTTTATTTATTTTTTTTAAATATGGGCTTGCCGGCTGGAAACGACAAGAAGTTGACAAATTTTAACGGCTGCTAACCCGAAACGTCAGTATCTTCTCTGTTAATATTATATATATATATATATATATATATGTATAAAACAGAAAAATTATGTAACACAAATAATCGAATACTTTCAGATTGTCATATCGTTAAGATTTCTTATACATTCTCGATATGATGTTTAGTCACTGAAAACAACTAGTTTTGTTCAAACCATGTGATGCGCTTTCCCCCAGAAACTATAACTAAGATGCGCCCAATCAAAGTCTGCAAAAAAGGTGGACACTATGGGTATTGAATAAACAGAAATATGCCTGAACAGGCGTTTGCCACAGGGATTGGCTAACCACCAGATGGATGTGCTCGGAAAGAAAGCTTTTTCTTTATGCACTGTGTCCCCTCACGACGTTGGCGATCATGGCTCTCCCCAATTTCATGTCCGTTGTAGCTATAAATATATTTTCTCATTTAGTTCTTTCACCCAAACTCAATCGTATATATTATGTTATGCGTTGTTTTCCTCTATCCCTATTGCCTTCAATCTGTCCTCTGAGTATCAGATTTTCCAAGGCATCTTTCCTCATTATATGCCCCAGAAATCTCAGTTGCGTCTTCCTGATATTAAGTATAATGTTTCTTTTAATTTCTACTTTCTTTCAAACCCTGTCGTTGCTCAAATGTTCGTTTCATCGTATCCTCATCATCCTTCTGTAGAACCACGTTTCTATTGCGTTTTCAACATCTTTGAGGAGATTGTCGAGAATTCATTGCCAAATAGGAGGACAATATAACGTAAGAGTTCAACACTATCGTCTTAATTGACATAAAAAATGAAAATAACACTGACAGATATATTTAATGAAAATACTACGTGTTGTGTCTGAGATCCTCACCAAAAAATTCTGGAATTCTTTACATATCAGAATGATCTGAGTGAGTTTTCCCAGATGCCATACCTTCGTAATCACCATTAGAATCATCCAACTCTTAACGAATCCTCTGAACTGTCCTCAGATTGACACCCAAACACTCTGAAATGTTCGTATTGGAGCTTCCGGCGAGAATGCAAAGCAGTACAGTATGCCGTTTCCAAATTTCTGGTGGAGTGAATTGATCAGTGCTCCTTTTTTCACAGACGCTGCGTAACTGACCCTACTACACTATGTAGTCGACAAAATAAAAAACAAACAACGCGCATGGGCAAAACTAAAAATATTAAATGGCAAGGTCGGTGTTCCGAATATTTTATATCTTAAATTGACCTACATTTTCGTCTTTGAAAAATTGTATTAAGGACTTTCGCAATCTAGCTGTTCCTTTTGCCAAATATCACTATTGCCATAGACTAAATTTGAAAAGATATATATATATATATATATATATATATATATATATATATATATATATATATATATATATATATATCCCACCTATTTTTATTACTTCAAATGTTATTGATTTTTAAAACACTATATTATTTCGTCTACTGGCTTGAACATTCATTAAATTTTATTATAGAAAATCTGCACCTTTCGGTAAGATTCGAACCTGCGTACTTCTTTGCAGGAGAAAACTTTTGATCCCATTGCTTTGACCACTTCACTTACGAAGAGCGTTAATTTTAAGCGTCGTTCCATTTTGCCCACTAAGAATTTTTTCCTCGTCCAGACCTTTGAAAGCTTCGATCGAATGGTCAATCGCAGCAAGGCTCACAAGTCATTTTTTCTGCTTTTGAAATTAAATTAATCGTTCACTGGCCATTGGTTTAACATTGCTCGAGGAGACACATTTGTAGTGTTGAAGCATAATTGCCATTTTGTAGCGATTTTTAACATGTTTTAATATCCTAAAAAATAATATTTAGCTCTACTGTGTATTTAGTTCTACTCTTTTAAATTAAATGTTAATTACAGTGGAATTATACCCCATTTGTTCTTATTTCTCTGTCTGAATTATCAAACTTTTGGGGGGATACTCACTCCTACTTACCCATATATATATATATATATATATATATATATATATATATATATATATATATATATATATGTGTGTGTGTGTGTGTGTGTGTGTGTGTGTGTGTGTGTGTGTACATTTCTGAGTTTGAACGTTCGTTTTCGAATCTCACCATAGTCAATTTGTCAGGAAGGCGAATACATTC